AGGATGTCATAAATTCTGAATAATGAATTAGTAGCTTTTCTTGATGTTTTCCTCAAACATTTGTCAGAAATTATAATCTGTGAAGCTAATGTTGTCAGTTCATGGGTGAATGTAGAGAGCCCAGAATTTAGGGACAAAGGAAAGTTATCATTTAAAATTTACCACTAAGACTCAACCCACAATGATGCAGAATAAAAATTCCCAGAGTAACCCTGTAGAACAGAAGTGTTTCCTAAATCTTAATCAAGAGTCTATATGAAACAATGATAAGGGTTTGCGGCATCTGGTAAAACGGAGTCAAAAAAAAACAACCCCAAAGTTTTTTCTTCACATTTGAGATGAAAGGATACTTTGCTCTTTCTTTACCCCCAAACATCCTTGGAATGAAAAAGGATGGTTTGTTTATCATAACTTGAAGGGAACAATATTTTAGATCTATGGTTAAATTAGTTAACCTACTCTGACCAACACAGAAACTGGTATGAGTGAAAGGCTACTGCTGTAGAACCTAAACTATGTGGTTACGTGGTTAGTGGTTGGCAGCAGTCTTAAAGCTAGCTAGCATTCCTGTTATGAAGTGCCTTTGACAATTTCAAAGGCAGAATCCATGCTATGACTGTAGTTCTAGGCAACAGGATTGGAAAACAAATTGTCATCAGTGTAGATTGGTTGCATTTAGCGAGATGTTAGAAGAAGAGGGTGAGTTCAGGTAAGATTTGGCTAGTTTTAAAGCCAAAGTCAAGGTGTTGGCGGGATTGGTTCTGTCTGAGGCCTGCGAGAGAAGAATCCGTTCCAGGCTTCTGTCCTTGGTTTGGAGAGCCAAACCATCCCTCTATGTCTCTTATTGTGCTTTCCTCCTGTGTGTATCTCTATGTCCAAATTTCCCCTTCTTAATAGGACTCCAGTCATACTAAATTAGGGCATATTCTGATACGCTCACATTAACTTGATTACCTCTTTAAAGACCCTGTGTCCAAACAAGATCATGTTTTTAGGTACCTGGGCTTAGGACTTTAACATGAATTCTAGGAGGGACAGAATTCAACCTGTAACAGAGAGAAGAGCTACTGGGGTAGAAATGGCATCTGTGCCACAATGCCCAAATTACAAATGCCTGAATGACTGGCACAATCCAGCTCCCCCCGCCCAAGATGTTTGGGAGTTCACAGGGATGAATCCGCTCCATTTCTCTTTAGTTTTCCTTATCAAGGCACCTCACCAGACCCATTAGTGTAGGTTATAGACATGTAAATGTCTTTTATTTACTTTGTTCCCAGTACTCCACACTACTACTGCTAGTACCTAAAAACAACGGTTAAAATTTTACTACGGGCAAATTACATTCTGGGTGCTATGTTAAACACATTATATGCATTATTCCATTTGAATTTCACAACTTTATTAGTCAGGTGGTGGTTTCATCCCCATTTTCAGTAGTAAAAACTGAGATACAGAGAATTTACCAAAGGTCATGTAGTAGGTAAATGGCAGAAGTAAAATGAGAATCCAGGTCTTTCTGACTCTAGAGCCTGCGCTCTTAATCACGATACCTCACAGTTCCTCAAAAGCTTTCACTCATGTGGTAGCTATCATTTATGGCTTGACCCCTCAGGGCCTATAACCTCATGCTGGATCAGGAAACACATGTTTTGCTTTCTCCTATAGCCTGAAGTTTACTTCTACATCTCTGTCTCTTACAAAAGCATTCAACCTGACATTCTACAGATCTTAGCTCCAAAATATATTTTGATTCTTTCCATTTGTAGGTGGTTCCTACTGCCACCATCCATCATCTCAGTTCCTAGAATTCTGCAGTCCGTGGATACCAATGAGATTGTATGAGGTTTAATGCCTATATTAGTTAAGATTAGTTTGGAATAACCTCTAAAGTGCTTCTCTTGCTTTCACTCCTGCCCCGGAGCTCTGGTTTTCCAAAGTAGGTATGTTTTCCTTACTGAGAATAACAATTTAAAAATGCAAACTAGTTCAAAATCTTTGCCTAAGTCTTTGACGTCATCTCTACCTCCCTTTTTATTTTTTAATCTTTAAAATTTTTTTTCAATTACAGTTATGTTCAATATTATTTTGTATTGATTTCAGGTGTACAGCACAGTGGTTAGACAATGACATACTTTACAAGTGTCCCCCTGATATTTTCAGTACTCATCTCTACGTCTCTTGCCTTCTTCACTGCAGTTCAACCACGTGGGCCATTTGGTTGTTGTCTTGAATAAGGCAGCCTTTCTTCTGCTCCATATTCTACTAGCAACTCTCTTTCCCCAGATGTTTGCCATGTGTCCTTCTCATCCTGTATGCCTTTACGTAACTGTCACTCCTTGGCAAGGTACTCCTTGACCACTCTAAAGTATGTTTCTACCATCCATCTCTGTTACATTACCTTGTTTCATTTCTTCAAGACACTTCTCAACAGCTAACATTATCTTAATTGCTTATTTGTTCATTATTTGAGAACCACCTCCTGCCAGACACGACTAGACCATAAGTTAACATTCTCTGCTTGCAGTCCTAAAGCCTAATACATGGTAGATGTTTAACCAATAATTGTTAAAGAGTGAGTGCATGAGTGTCTCTCCCAAGGCATGGTGCACGAAACTCCTTTCTCCTTCCTTCCACCTCAAAAAAAAAAAAAAAATTCCAATCAAATAACCTGAGAAAGAAGCACTGTATTAATAGTTTCACAAACAGTCAGCTTGCATCCCAGTTTCAGCTCAGCGAATATACGCAGTGAGGTTTTCCTGAAATCTTTTTATGTCCCGTCAACTGTGACTTACATTGCCTATACAGCACTATGTAGCAGCCTAGATAGGCTTTAGAGGCTGATCACATTCTCAAGGCTGAGACTGTCCAGAACCTTGCTTTCTGGAACCCACTAACCTTTGGCCAGAAAATAGGGAAGAAGACCACTTAGAAGGGAATCGAATAATGTTTTCTACGTGCCAGGTTAGACTCATTTCAAGAACTTTACATGTATGAACTCACAATGATTCTGTAAATTCTGTGCTACCATTATAAGCACCTACAGTTGAGGAACCAGAGACACAGAGAGGTGAAACAGCTTGCTTAAACCATTACATAGAGAGCCATTTGTTGAGTTGGGGTTTGAACTTAAGATGTTTAGCTTCATGTTTGTAACCAGCATTATGAGTAAACTTTGGAAGGTGTGGACTAGAACACCAGAATAATTAGGACTAGAAATGTCAGAAATACATTTTGAAAACCTCTTGGATTACACTTGTAAGAACATCCTTTTACTAATCAAAAAATCAAGCTCTTTTCTCTCAATTTGAGAACCATCTACATTTGTTAAAAGTTAAATTTCATTACAACCAAATTCCAATGGAAAAAACCCCCCAAATTTTTCTTGGTATCTAGTGTTCTTTGAAAGAGAAATCAGGACATAATTCTTTGTCCTGTGAATCTCGTGCCCTGCTTGCTGAGCCTATTTGCTTTCTTTAGTAGCCTGTTGTATGCTGTTAGGTAAGTCATATCACCTTACAATGTCTTTCTTCTCGTCCAGGGAAGCACTCAGACAGAGTCCACCAGTTCCAGACTCAGACCAGTGACTTTGCAACTACTACCTATGTGACCTTGGACAAGGTTGATATTACTTCGCCAAGCTTATTTCCCCATCTTTACAGATGAGATAATACCCAACACATAAGGCTGTTGTAAGGGTTAATAAGATACAATATATAAAATATTTGACATATAGTAGATACTATATGATACTGTGTGATACTTTTATTGCAACTATTAGAATACATAAAATTTAGTTTTGTCTCAGAAAACAGACCCTGCCTTCAGTAGACTTATTAACAGATATAAATTAGGTCATTTTCCAGGTTCCTCTTCATTTATTCAGTGTTACTTGGGGACTTCCTATGCACAAAGACAGAATATCTTAAGATGACTATGTTTCAGTTAGAACAACAAATGTACATATTTACCTATATTAAGAACTAGAAAGTGATAAATATTTTAACTGAGTGACAGTCATAAAAATTCAGAGGAGGGAGAAATTGCTTTCACCTCCAAAATGTGGGGCAGAGAGTAGAGAAAGGGCATTTGAGCTATACTTTAAGGGATGTCACTAATGAGCAATCTCTCTCTGTGGAGACAATAGGCTAAAAGAATTACTTTCTCCTCTGTGGTATGTTTAATCATTTTGCACCACTTTTTAAAAATTAAATTGATATTATATTGTAATTCCTGTTTCTGTTTCCTCCTTATTGTGCACTTCTAGATGGCAGGTACTGTCTTATCAGTGCTGAATCCTCCAGCACCCAGTTAAAGGAATAATTGTAATAACGAAAGAAATTACAGAAAAGCTGTTTGGGTTTTAGGGTTAATCCAAACCCTAAAGCTTCAGTGTGGCTCTAGAATCTAAAGGGTTTTAACTTCAGGCTGTGCCTCTTAGCTTGGGAAAGTGACTTTTAGGATTGACAGATGAAAAACAAGACACCCAGTTATATTTGAATTTCAGATAAACAACATATACTTTTTTGGTATAAGTATGTCCCACGCAATCATTACGGCACACTTGTAACAAAATGTTGTCCCTTGTTGATATGACATTTCTTATTTCTGGGCACCCAGAAATTTTACTTGCTAAATAAGCCAAACCTATGACTTCTCTCTTACTTGTTACTTGGAAATGCGAGTGAAAACAGTACCCTCTTAGGATAATCTATACAAAGAATCTCGCCCACGATAACGCTTCATTCACCTTCCAAATCAGGATACATTAGTAAAAGATCTATGTCAAACCTCTGGGACAGTGGCCTTGGATACACCCCAAATATGGTTACCCTTATTAGATGGCTTTCCAAAGAGTGCAGAAAAAGTTCAGTACAACTCTGAACACAGTGGCAACCTATTTACAAATTTGCGTTCAAGGTGATAACACAACAATGTCGAGCCCACGTCGCACCAGGCAGAAAAACATTCTTACAAGGAAAGGGTTGGTTGCACTTCTGCGCGTGCGCACAAGAACACCATCGTCTCCGCCCCTCCGAGTCACGTGGAGGAGGAGCGACCGGGCCTAGACGCTTGACCCAGGCCCCAAATTCGCTCAGGAATGGAGCCAGAAGAGGGGACCCCTCTGTGGCGGCTGCAGAAGCTTCCAGCCGAGCTGGCCCTACCGGTGAGGAGGGGCGCGGTCGGCGGCAGCAGGGGAACTGGGCTCCGGAACGGTCTGGGCTGCTTGTTAGGCCGTTTCAAACGAGACGCCTTCGTGGGGCTGGCCTCGCGGCCCAGGAAAGGGCGGGTAAGGGGCGTGATTTCGGGTGGCCGGCCCCCTCCCTCTCCTGGAGAGCTGTGGAGGCCAAGATTTGGGGCGCCACCTCCGCGCCCCGGCACGGAGCAGCCCCTCAGGGGGCTTTGCGCGCCGACTCCGCCGGGGCGCGCCGCACCCTGGTGGGGGTGGCCCCTCTGCCCCCTGCCGTGGTCCTGCGCTCGGGAGCGGAGCCGCCACGTAGACTCCGAAAGCTTAGGCCGTGCAGCCGGTGGTGTGCAGCTTCTCGCTTACCTTCCATTCATTCACTCAACACCTACCTCCCAAACGCTACCTACGAACTGGGCACGGTGCTCGGTGCTGGGGATACCATGGTGGCCTAGAGAGGGGTACCCGCCCCCTTGAGGGAGACAGGAAAAGAATATTTTTAAGTGCTTCCAGTAACTGGGCGACTTAATTTGTCAGGGTGTTCCAAGGTGGCCTTTCCCTCTAGAGGAGATACATGCGCCGGCACCTCTAGTCTAAAAAGAACCTTGTTGAGGATCTGCAAAAAGCCCCATTCCTTTGTTCAGCCAGCTTTTCGTTGACGTCCACCGTGTGCTCAGTGCCCTGGGGGGATAAGGTAAAACAGTGAATGAGACGCAGCCTGTGCTCGCTGTCCACGGAGGGAACCTAGAGTTACCCAGTAATGAGCTTGTGGGAGGGGTAGCAACTCGGATTTGAAGGAGCAAGGGAAGGTTTTTCAGAGCAGAAACATCTAGATTTATTTCTAGGTTTAGTCCTGAGAGATGATGAGGAACCAGATAGGCCAGAAACGGGAGAATGTTTGAAACAGAGCAATTACCAGCCCCAGAGGAGAGAAGAAAGCCAGCCCCTTCCACCCGCCCCGCCCCATCTGCTCTGACCTTAGAGGCTGCAATTCCCAGTGAGAAGCAGAGGAGGGAGGAGCTTAGACAGGTGAGCAGGAGCCTTGCTCGTGCACTTGGTGTTACTACCAAAGGCGCTTGCATTTTGAAGTACTGGTTTTGGCAGCAGCAAAATTTGAGTGAGTTTGAAAGGTGAAAGAAATGTGGAGACGATAAGTACACATAATGGTATCTTGACTGGGAACTGTGAAGGGAAGAAGACCCTATGGTTGCTGTAACAGGAAACTATGACTGAGAAGTGCTCCCCCCCCGCCCCCCCCCCGCCAACTTCCAAGCAAAAACAAAAACAAAATCCCAGAAAACAAAAAAACAAACAGAACTTAATGCCCCAAGTATTAGACCTGAAGGGAATTTGCCAGTCCACGAAAGAAGGCAATATATGCATTATGGAGCTTCAACAGTAGTTTTGGGGGCTGTGATTCTGTTTGCCCACTGACCTCAGACTACTAATGAACACTTGGTATTGTAATTAATACGCTCATATGTTTACTCCGACCATGTGGATTCCCCACAAAGCTCAGGCCTTGTGAAGTCTTCCGTGAACACTTGTTAACTGGTCCTCTTACCTCTGGTCTCTCTCTTATTCTGAACTCCTTCAGGGTAGATACTTGTTTTATATCTCCAATTCTTGAGAATTGTGTCTGGCTCAAGGTGGTTCTTAAATCAGTGATTGTTGAGGGAAAGAATCAATAATGTCCATGGAACTCCCTTTATCATTGGGGCAGTCATCTGGATCCCAAGCTTTGGCAGGCTGGCCTTCAGGGTCAGTGATCGGCAGCTTTGCGTAAGTCCCAGCCCTGTTCCATTTACTGTGGATGAAGGGTGGGTGTGGGCACTTAGCCTACCTAATGTGATGGAAGGATATGTGGTATCTTCTGTAAGTTCCAAATTTTGGCTTTCCTTTCTCCTCTGTTCCATTTACAATGGGGAAAGTGGAGGGGGGAGGATAGAAGGGAATTAACTTAGTTAATTCCTACCAGGATCAAGAAAAACCATCTAAACTCTTTTCTCTGATTTTACAAGTGAGGAAATTCATGTAGTGCATTAGCCAGCTTTTGAAAGTGGGGTCACCAGTTGCTCATCTCTATTCTGATAAGTGTGGTGTTACAGAGAAGGAATTATAGCTTAAAATGAAGTGGAACGTTATCCAGGGGAAACAAGTTGAAAGACTTGCTGCTAAAATGCATTTCCAAGTTAATTGGGTTGAAATACCCTTCTCACGAGACATATCTCCTGGAAAAGATTACCATGTCAATCATTTGCCTAGAATAGTGTAGGCGTAGTAGGTACTCAGTTAATATATGTTAAAAGCATGGACCACAGTACTAGTAGTAGTAGTAACAGTGATAATAAATAATAATAAGAAGAATGATAACAATGGGTAGCAATGTTTAAGTGCCTTGTTAAGCTAGCAGTGTGCCAAGTGATTTGCATGTATTATTTAATCCTTACAACAACATTATGAGGGTATTGATATTATCCTCATGTTACACATGAGGAAACAGAGGCACAGAACTTTTATGTAATTTGACAAAACTAGTTAAGTAGTGGAAGTGGGGTTCAGGCTAGCCAGTTTCATTCCAAAATCCACAGTCTTAATTACTGTGTTTAATTATGTAAGTGTTAGGATTTCCATTGCTGGTTTTAAGGTAGGATAGAGAAAAAGGAATGTAAAAAAAAGGAAAAGAAAGGTAATGAGGGCTTTCTTGGAGGGACCAAAAGAAGTAAGTATGAATTGTGATAAATAGAGGCAAGGGAAGTGAAGTTTGTAAATCTACAGTAACAGACTTTTGTTATTGGTATAAATATGTCTAAGGAATTCCAAGATGAAACTTTTATAAACACCATTTTCCTTTTGGTAACATTGAAAAAACAACAGTGTATCTATATAATTTTTCAGCTCCTGAACATGGGCAAAATGATGAGACTTTTTGTGTCTGAAGTTCTAACTTTTAATTCATAAAAAAAGTTAGTTATATTTCTACCTCAGCTGCTCTTTCAGATAACATGAACTTCTCCCAACAACACTTGTTTGCTACAAGGGAGATAGATCTGTTTTACAATTTTACTCATAATCACATTTATTTCTTTTGTTTCTCTCTAGCTTCTTCACAAAATAATTGATGGCATTTGTGGCCGAATTTATCCTCTCTACCAGGACTATCAAAGTGTTTGGGATTCCACGGAATGGATGCATGTTCTGGAAGATATTACCAAATTTTTCAAAGCTGTAGTCGGTAAAAATTTATCTGATGAAGAGGTAACTTTACTGTAAATTTCTATGTATTATAATAATTAGTATTCAGAGCTTTTATTGGTCATTAGGGCACATATAATAGAAGAGCCATCATTAATAAATATCTACTAAGAAAAACCTCATTACTGTAATTAGAAAATCTGATTTTGGAAGTTCTGGGTTTTTGTAGTTTTAATTTTGTTTTTTTTTTTTTTTTAACTTGTGAAATATTTAAATGATATAGAAGAAAACCGAAAGTTAAGTAGCTGACACCTGTATTCCCATTACCACAGTTAAACAGTTGTTAACATTTTGCTTTGTGTATTTCAGTTTTGTGTGTTTGTTTTAGAAACAGGGTGTTACAGATTTACCCACATACCACCTGGGTATGTCACCCCTCACCTAGAGATCACCACTTGTGAAGTTGGCAGACATGGTTTGTGTTCTGTGTTGTCTGAATGTTTGCAATGTTTACAATTATTTAAGCCATTTCAATATATAACATGTGAATGATAACTATGTATCCATTTGTAATTTTTCAATTTAATATTGTTTTAGATTTATCAATATTGGTAAGTGTAGATCTAGTTTATGTATTTTTTTCTCCTTAAAGTGTTTGCTGATGGGAATTAGGAGGACTTATTTTTCTCTCCACCTGCTGGTGAGCAGTCAGGGCATTGCCTCTTCATTATTACGGATACGGCTGCTCCATTTTATGGGTCCACTTGTACTCACATGATCCTCTTCGAGGATCGACGTCTTGAAGTGAAATTGCAGGGTCATGGGATAGCCTTCCATTGAATTGCATTTGTAATATTTCTTTTCTTGAAGGCTGTATTGTTTGTTATATTAATATAGCTATACCAGCTTTTTTCCAGTGGTCTCCAAGACATTCACTTTCATGCTGTTCCTCAGTCAGCCCTTTTCTTTTACGTTTTGTTTTGCGAAAATTTGTTTAAGCCTCTGGTTTCCTGGTTATGCATTCTCATCTTACTATTTTCATGGTGACAGAAGTATTTTTTTTTCCCTCATCTACTACCATTTTAAATGGTACGTGAAAGGAGAGTGGAGCTATGTGTTTCCATTTTAAACAGAAAAGTCCTTTCATTTATTTTATAACCATTTTTATTTCTATAGATATCTCAGCAATTGAATGAATTGAATTCATTTCATCAAGAAGCTATCATGAAATGCTTAAAAAGTAGAAAAGATGAAATTAAGCAGGTGTTATTAGAAGAAATAGTTGATATTTCCTCTGCGCAGCTACAGGATTTTGATTGGCAGTTAAAGGTGAGAATCTATTTATGAGTATGTTTTTATTTCAGTTTTTGAATAGAAAAATTTATTTTATATTATATACCTAAAATTTTTGTTATTTTGAGAATACAATATCCCATAAAGATATCAAAGATAATTGAAATTATATCTTTTGTATTAACTGGGCAATCAGTATGCTATAAACATTCAAACCATGTATAATAACTTTACAATGATAAATTTAATTAACTGCGGGTGTAAATCATAAGATGTTATAAAGAGCGGAGCTGTATGTATGTATTTAACATATTTTTGGCTAGAACGTTCTAGACCTCATGGTCTTCCCAGGATTGGTAAATGTGATTCTACCTCCAGGGAAAAAATCTGTAGTGTGTGTTTTAAAATAGCTTTTAAAAACATTTTTAAAAGAGAGTCTGGTTAGCAGTACTCATCAAGAACGGATTTTATATCATAGAACCACTGGATGTATGTGTACTTCCCAGCTGTAAAGCTGCTGTGGATTTCTGCTTCTGCTGACTGGTTGTCTTTCTTTCCTAACCTACGTTTTTTCTTTTATTCACTCTTTCTCTTTCTGTTCTTTAGATGTATGTTGGTTTGGCATGGGTTTAATTTCTTTATTTCTTCCACCTTTCCTTGTACTTGACAGCAAACAAGAGTATTTTTTTAAATGTATTGTTCATAAGCTCTGATGCATATTTAATATAGTTCTATTTAGTATCTATTAATGACTTTTCCTTATTTTAAACAGCTTGCACTTTCCAGTGACAAGATTGCTACATTACAGATGCCACTTTTAAACCTTCATCTAGACATAAAAGAAAATGGTGAAGTCAAACCATATTCTATTGAAATGAGTAAAGAAGAGCTGCAGAATCTAATAAATTCCTTGGAAGCAGCTAATAAGGTATTTGTTTTAATTTTCTTACGTGGTTTAAAATGTTAAGTTTTGATTGCTACCATTAGAGCCATGTAAGAAAACCTCATAATTCACTTTTAATATTTCTTTCTTTCCTGATATTTTATGTCAGATACAGAAAATACTTTATGTTCTACATCTCTAGCTTTATACATTAAATTAATTATAACTTGTAATTTTAATTACTTAGTTTTGAGCATAATTTATCATGTTATTTTTGAAAGAATAATAGTGCTGTTCTAACAGCTAGATTTGTTTTGCTCCATTGCACATTAATGATAAAAATTAATTTTTCACCTTGAGGCTATGAAAGTAGTTAATTCTACAGTGTTTTTCTGATTAAAAATAGTACGGTCTTGAAGAGTGTCTTATTTAACTGGACAAATAATAGGAAATTGCTTTAACTCCAGGATATAAAATATACCTTGAAGTTATGACAAAATCAGGTTGAGATAAAATAGAATTCATCTATGATTAAAAGCTTTACATTTACAAAAGAATGGCTAAATAATAGTAACCATTCCTAGTGTTTAATTAATGAGAAAAGTAATATTTAAACAGAAACTGCTGCTGTGAGGAAGAAACAAAAAATAATTGTCTTTGTTATATATATTTCTTTTATTATTACTCAGCATTTTTTCTAGTGATGGAATCTCAGTGATTAGTTTTTGTTACCAGTCTCTTGCTAACCAATCTTCTTGGCTCTGACTTTAACACCATGGTATACTTTAGCTTCCTTCCATATTCTGCAGCTACTCAGCCATTTTGGTGCCTTGACGACTGGTCCACAGGCCCAGTCACCAAACTGGTAATGTCTCTCTGATGGGACGTGTGGTGGAGCCTGGTATAAATGTGAAGTGATTCTGAACCATGGATCCTAGCAGGCATGTGCCATCAGTCACTGAGCAGTACACTTGTTATCAGTTCTCCAGACACTTCAGAGATTGCAAAGCATTTCCTTCAGCAGATATTGGCATCATTCTGGTATAAACTGATCCTCCCCTTCTCCCTTTGTCTTTAAGGTCATGCTGCAGTTGAAATAACTGGAAATCGCGAATACCAATATTATCAGATTACGCTGCTACAACTGATACGACAGAGTGAATACTGTGTGTTCAGAAAACCTGCAATATACTATATGCCAGGCTGAGAAAGCAGCCTTATTGAGATTACAAAGATTAAAATTTATCAACTTTCCTAAAGAACAGGAAATTACATGGTTGACAGGAAATGTATAAAAAATTAAAGATAAAAAGCTATAATAGCAGTTTATATTTTAATAATGGCTGTTCTGCTACATTTATTGAATATTTGAGAGATCTTTATAGGTAAAGAGTTTTACTGAAAACTAAAAATAGGCTCTAAATTAATGTAAATATACAAAGCACAAATAAACTTGAATCTTGCTTAAAGAAGTATGTGAATATCAAGGATGTGTATTATGGATATATATGACTAATTTGTGATATTTTAAAATTACTTTTAAGAAATGTATAAGCTGCATATGTAACTCAGGAGATTCCATATCTTGCTCGTGTTTTAAAGGAAAGATTATAAAATGTAAAAATTTTAGAGAAAGAAGCGCTTCAGACATGAACAAGAAAAAATAAATCTGAACAATTTTGAGTTTATAGGTTTTAGTAAAATCTTATACTAAACCATAGGAAAAAATGCAGTAACACTGCTACTTTTTAATTTCTATGTCTGATTGGGAGAATATGAGCTGATAAAAAGAATATATGTCATTGCATATTATATATATATTACTATTTAAGTATCAGCTAAGATATATATATCAATTTTTGTTATAAACTCAATATTGAATTTAATAGTTTTGGATATTTATTGGCAAACGGATCATTTTTAATTTCAGTCAAGTTTAGAGAGAAGCATTCTGAACAAACAAAAAGTACACTTTTATTATATTGCTTTATTTCAAAAAAACTTTCTAAATAATGCAGTGATATATAAATAATTGGTACCTGCAATTTGCAAGCTTTGTAGTACATTAGAGCATCAGACCATTATATGAAGTGTCTAGAGCAATTATTATAATTCTCATATAGATGAGGATAGGCTTAGAGAGGTTAATGCAAATCTGAGTGTGATCTAGATGGTGTTCTCAAAACGTGTTTGTACTCTAATGCCAGCCTGTGGACTGTTGATTATAGGTCAATAATAGATGAGCTGGTGCCAGAATGTTCATCAATACACTGCTTTCTTCACTGGGAAATTCTGGTTATGAGAAAAAAAAATTGGCTGAACCAAATAATGTGCTTAGTGAGGTAATTGATTTATGTTTTTGTGCAAGCTCTTTATGTCATTATGGACCAGTAACAGCACTGAATAATGCTGATACCGGGTCCTCTGAATTCCAACCCTCCATACGGTACTTCCTCTGAGAAGGTACTTCCTCTGAGAAGCAAAAAGTCATGCTCGCTCTTAGTCCCCTCTCACTACATTAGCGTATTTAAACACTTTATTGAAATCTGACTGATGTAGTCTAAACTTCACATATTTACAATTTATAACCTAATAAGTTTTGTTATACTCGAATGTATACCAAGAAAAGCAACACCTCAATCAAGGTGGTGAGCATATCAATCATTCCTGAAAATGTCTTCTTATTCCTTTGTAATCTCTGCTCCTGTGCCCGCCCTGGCCCCAGATAACCACTGATCTGCTTCCTACTACAAAAGATTTCAATTTGTTCACATTTTCAAGAGTTATCAAATGGAATCCTACAGCATGTACTTTTTCTTTTTCATAATCTGGCTCCTTTGAGTATTTTTGAGTTCATCCATGTTGCTGCACATAGCAATAATCATTCCTTCATATTGTTGAGTTTTCTGTTGTAGAATTCTACCATGATTTGTTTACCGATTTACCTTTAATGGATATTTTGGTTGTTTAAAATTTTTAGCTAGAATGGTACACTGAATGCTATACAATTCTTGTGTATGTCTTTATATGGACATATGCTTTCCTATGAATAATACTTAGGAGAAAACAGCTGGATCATATGGTAGGCTTATGTTTATCTTTTCAAGAAGCTGCCAAACTTCCAAAGTGAGTTTACCATTTTGCATTCCATACCACAGTTCATGAGAGTTGCACCTCCACTTTCCCACCAGCACTTGGTGCAGTCAGTCTTCTTCATTTCAAATATTCTAATTAGGTATATTGTGGTATCTCACTGTGGTTTTAATAAGGACCAATGATACTGAGCATCTTTTCATGTGCTTGCTTGCCATCTGTGTATCTTTGGTGAAGTATCTGTTTGGATCTGTTGACTATCTTGGATTGTTTTCTTACTGAGTTTTAGATGTTCTCTGTATAGCCTGGATACAGTCATTATCATATATATATATATGTCTTGTATTTTTTTTCCAATCTGTAGCTTGTCTTTTTTCTGTAAGTAAACTTTTTTAAGAGCATTTTTATATTTACAAAAATTGAGCACATATTACAGAGGTCTGTTTCCCAGGTTATTGTCTTAATATGGTACATTTATTATACTTTTTTAAAAAAACATTTTATTTATTTTATTTTTAGACGGGAAGGGAGGTAGAAAGAGAGGGAGAGAAACATCAGTGTGTGGTTGTCTCACACTGCCCATACTGGGGACCTGGCCTGCAACCCAGGCACGTGCCCTGACTGGGAATTGATCTGGTGACCCTTTCGTTTGCAGGCCAGCACTCAATTCACTGAGCCACACCAGCCAGGGCTGGTATATTTATTATACTTAATGACTTAATATCAATATATTATTTTAAACCAGATTTTGTAGTTTATTTGGACTTCCTAAGGTTTTACCTAATCTCCTTTTTTTGTTCCAGAATTCCATATTGTATTTAGTTGTCATGCCTCCTTAAGCTTCCTTTGCTGTAATAATTTCCCATGCTTTCCTTGTTTTTAGTGACCTTGACAGTTTTGAGGAGTTTGGATGAGATACTTTGTAAGATGTTTCTCTATTGGAATATAATGTTTTTCTCTTGTTTAGACTGGGGTTAGGGGTTTTGGAGAGGAAGATCACAGGTAGAGATCGAGTTATGTTACATCATGTCAAGGGTACACAGTATTAAAAGGATTTATGATGATGCTGACTTTAGTCACTTGGCTGAGCTAGTGTTTGATGGGTGTTTTTTCCACTATAAAGTCACTCTTCTCCTTTTTCTGTCCCACACTCTGGAAGGAAGTCACTCTGTGTAGGCTATACTTAAGGAATTGGAGTTGAGCGCCCCCTTCTTCAGGCGAGAGTATCTATATAAATATAAATCTTCTGGAATTCTGTTGTTTGTCCCATCTCTCCCAGCTATTTATTTATATAGTATGGACTCATGGATATTTATATTTTAGGTTATAATCCAATAGTAATTTTATTACTCAAAATTGTTTAACTTTGGGTCATTGGGAGCTCAGTTGGTTTCTTTGTCCCTTTGATAAACCATTATCAGTGGGGAGTGGATTTTTAAAATTTATTTATTTATATATCATTTCCTTAAACTTCTGGCCATAGAAGAAGCTTCAGGCACATTTTATTTAGTTTCTGTCCAGTCCTAGAATCAGCCATTCTCTAAGATACTCTTGTTCATTTTAGTGAAGAATGGTATTAGATACAAAGCTAGGTGTGCTCATTGCTATTGGGAAGTTGTTTTTTTAAGGCCCAGTCAGCTGACAGAAACAAAAAGTATATAAACACATGAAAACTACCCTGAGTGCATACACATATCTATAAACATTTACATAACCATCTATGCATTAAGCTACATATGAGTTCATCCTGATGTCTCCAACTCTAGTCTGTTACCACGGGGACCGTCCTACTCCCCTCCCTTTCCCGTAAATCCAAGATCAGCGGTGAGAAACCTGACTCCCACCATCCACCACCGATTTGCTCAGTGGTTCCATTCCAGTATATATGCAGCAGTATCTGAATTGGTAGTATGTACCCCAGTGGGACTAACAGCTTGACCTTGTAGGAAGGACTTAAGTACATTTCCTTTTCCTTTCAGTTTTACAGACCGCACTCATTTTCCAAGTTACTTCGGTCAGCACCTGTTCCCTCTACTCCGTTCAGTGAGGTGGTTTTATATATTTATAGTGGAGTTCAGTTTTTTACCATGGTGTGCACTCTGCTGGGATCCCCTGACTTCCTAAATGATTTTTAAATTTGCACACATTAAGGTTCTCTCTGTGTTGAGCAGTGCTGAGTTTTGACAAATACCTAATGTCATGTACCCACTGTGCAGAATAGTTCAATACCCTAAAAATCCCCTGTGCTTTACCTGTTCATCCTTTTACACCTTCCTCTGAACCCCCGGACAATCAGCGATTTTTAAAAAAATGTCAATAGTTTTGCCTTTTCCAGAATGTCACATAATTGGGACCCTATAGTATGGAGTCTTTGGCTACTTTGATTTAGTATAATGCATTTAAGTTTCTTCCATGTCTTTTCATGGCCTGGTAACTCATTTCTTTTTTTATCTTTGAATATTTCGTTGTATCAATGTTCCACAGTTTGTTTATCCATTCACGTATTGAAGGACATTGGTTGTTTTCACTTTATGTCCATTATGAGTAAAGCTGCTATAAATATTCACCGGCAGGTTTCTGATGGACACAAGTTTTCAAATTAACTGAGTAATGCTTAGGAGTGTGATTGCCGGATCATTTGGCATAATAAGTTTAGCTTTGTAAGATGCAACCAAACCTTTTTGAAGATGCTGTACCACTTTGCATTTTTTTAAAAAATTGTGGCTAATAAATAGATAAAAAACCCCCAAACATCTAACATGATCTTTTACTATTCAGTATAATATTAACTATGCACATTATTGTATGGCAGATCTCTCAGGCTTTCTTATGTCAGTGGAACTCAGTGCTTTGAACAGCAGCTCTTTATTTCCCATTCCCTAGCCACTGACAATCACCATTCTACTCTCTGCTCCAAGATTTTGACTACTTAGAAGTGGAATCATGCTGGATTTTTCCTTCTGTAACTAACTTATTTCATTACCATAATGTCCTCGTGGGGCACTTGTGATTTACTATAGTGATTTTCATTGGCTGTACTGCAAAAGGCATGCTGGTGTGCGGCAAGAATTTTTAAAACATTCAGTACCTGACTACTCACGGGTACTTTCCTCTTAGATTGTAAAGAAAACGAAACAGCTGACACGATAATAGCCATTCAGTGTGAATGAATCAAAATTATACCTATTTTTTGTCAGATCAGCAGAAAATACATTTTTGGTGTGCTGCAGAATTTTAGTAATTAGGTGTGCTGTGAGATGAAAATGGTTGAAAATCACTAATTTAACCCATGATTTTCCTTTTTTAGGGTTAAATAATATCCCATTGTATGTGCATCTATTTTCTTTATCCATTAATCCATCAATGGACATTTGTTTCCACTTCTTGGCTATTGTGACTAAGGCTGTAATGAGCATAGGAGTGCAAACATCTCTTCACAGGCCTGTTTTAAATTCTTTTGGATAAATACTTGAAAGTGGGACTGTTGGACTATATGGTAGTTCTCTTTTTACATTTTTGAGGAACTTCGATATTGTCCTTGGTGACTACACCATTCTACATTCCAGTCAACAGTGCGCTAAGTGTTTCAGTATCTCCACATCCTTGGCTGGTAGTAGTGACAACACAGATACGCACCTAATTTATGTTAGCTGCTGCTTATCTGTAATCCTTACA